TTCAGTAAAGAAAAGTTCAAAACATATATGAAAAAAAAAAAGAATGATTTTGAAGAATATGAAAATTGTTTATGGATATTTGGAAGATCGATGAGAATTATGCGTCGATTGAATAAACAGAGATGTCACGGAAATGAAGAAGGTTCGGTAAAGAAGAATCCAGGCGATGTATAGGAAAAAATAATTTTTTGAAAAATGTGAAATTTGTTCATGGATATTTACGATATCGATGATAATTGTGTGTCGATTCAATGAAGTGAGACGTGACGAAAGTGGGATTGGATTTACAATAATTGTCAGGGTAATTTTTCAGGATTAATTCAGATAGTGTTTTGGAGAGGAGTTGGATCGTTATCGTGAGCGCGAAAGGGAAAATGGGATTTGAGTAACAGGGAGGAGAAGTGAAATTAAATGTTAGTTGTTTATCGTTTAAGTGGAATGAAAGTGTCGAATAATTGGTAATTGGAATGTGTGTGAATATGTACATTCACAGATACTATTCACACATATGTTATTAAGTGAAAATTTGACAGTTTTAAGGGAAACGTGATGTCTACAGAGTGGCATCAGTTGACAACACGTGTTGTAAATTAACCCTCGGAAGGAAGAAAGTGTTTGATGATCGAATAGACGGTGGTAAATACCTGGGTTCAACTAGACCCCTGCTCATCTGTTTTTAGATGTGTTTTGGAATGAATTTCTTCAAAATGTTGAAGAAAAAATGTTGAAATGAATTTCTTTCAAATGTTAAAATGGATCCAGGCACTGCTGTCTAAGGGTTGAAGCAATTTTGAAAAGAACAATTTACAAATTTGTACAATGAGTGTTAACCCTTTCGTTCCCACTGCTGCCATATGGCCAAATATTTTAAATTATTAAATAAACTATTAAAAGTTGTCGATCTAGCAACAAATAATAAATGGCATTAGACAGTTTCAAAATGTTATTAAATGCTTTTATGAATCATTTATATACCAACTAATATACACACAAATACAATAAAATATATCTTCCGTAATTTTTCAATAATTTAGAAATGAAAGGGTTAACAAGTGAACGTTCACGATTTATTCAATTAAATCATACGATTGATGAGAAGAAATATTGTAGACGATGCATTGAACTTTACCAATCGAACTGATAAGTTTCGTGATACGACGATAATTAGGAAATTTTTCGTGTGAAACGCTTTCGAAATGCTTTCTCTGTGTATGTGGACCATTTCCTTGGATAGGTGAACGAAACAAGCCTTACAAGAATACTATATCGCGTCGATAAAATTGGGATTAACTCGGAAGTCAGCTGAAAATCAATTAATTTCAATAAGACGAGGTCGAAGTTCACCCACGTTACGATAGTTTTCCACTGGCTGCTATCGTTCGAAGCTCAAGATCCACTTGTGAGTTCTTCTTTTCAGAGTGAAAGGGTCAAAAGAAGAGATTTTTCTCTGAATAAGTAGATATGTATAGTCTTGAAAGACTCCACTAATCTCTGTTATAAATATCTTGTTTAAGGAAAGAAAGATTAGAAAATTGAAACAGTGAAAATCATTTACCTAATTTTTGTAAGACAGGGTCGAAGTTCGCTAAGATTTTGATAGTTTTGAACACTTGTTATTGTTAGAAACTCAAAATTCCCAGTTGTAGTCCTTCTTCGTTTGGCTGTGATAATCTGATAAGAATAGTGGAAATTCTATTTTATTCTATAAAAAGAAGGTCGAAGTTCATGCCACATTGTGAGTTTACACAGGAACTTCAGAATCCCGAAAATTCCGATTTTTTTTTTAAATTGTGAAGGTCTACAAGGGGCTTGAATAGAAGTATTAGGCAATTTTGTTTGCTACTCTTTAGTTCTTCCGAGTGAAGACACCCCTTAAAATTTAATTAGTGGTTTCTTATTTACCTGTATATCTTGCAAACTATCATAAATACAAAAAAATTGTTACAATAAAAATTCAATGGATTGTTGTCGCCTTCAAAACTGTGTAATAAACTTGTTACAATTTTATTATTTATATAAATAAGTAAGTAAATAAACAAATTCTTAACAATTTAATTACACAGTCTTCTACAACATGAAAATCCACTAAACTTTCTTCCCAGCAATGTTTCTATATCTACTACAGTTTTCAAGATATACAGAAAAATTGGAAAATCCACACTAACTTTTAAGGGGTATTTCACCCTAAAGAACCAAAAATTCGCAAAAAAGCAAAATTACCAAATACTTCTATTGAGGTTCTCTACAAACCTGCAAAGTTTCCAGAAAATCGAAATTTTCGTATCACCGAAATGTGGCTGTCGAAAATTCAAAATCGGTATCGCCCGATAGCTTTCTCCAACACGGAAGGGTTAACCCTCCGTAAGCAAACTAGATTGTATATGTTGAAGCCTAATTTTCTTACTGTTTTAGGCTTTCAAATGTTCTGAGAAAATTCTGAGATATTTCTGAAACTATCTCCTAGATGATACAATCATTCGTGAAGTCGAACGTTCGAAAGTTTTTTCAATAAAAATAGAATTTCAGAGGTATAGAAGTCCAGGAACAATGGGACTTTACGTACCCACATTGCTCACGGAGGGTTTAGAAAGAAAGGACATCTTTCTTCGTGCGAAAGGAAAGGATTCCGATCTCGCTTTTTTCCTTGATGCCGTCGGATCGACGGTAAGAAAATCAGAGAAAGATACGGATAGGAGCAAGGGGCAGACCGCTAACGAATGAACAAAAAGAAAAAACGAAGAGGGAGAGAGAGAGAGAGAGAGATAGAGTGAATTCAAGTGGCTCGCTGGATAAGGAGCCCTCGTGTATTTAATCGTTCCAGACGTTCCCGGGGCTTGTCGGGCAGACGAGCGCATGTAAATCGAGAACGATCCGCGTTCTTTCGGCAATAAAAATTCGCGAAACGTTGTGTTCGATTCGATTTTTGTCGGACGTGTAAAATATTGTGCGTACCAACAAGTAATCAAGTTTTGTTGAATTCAATATTTAGGATAGTTTATAGGAAAATTAGAAGAATGTGCCATTTTAGTGATATTAACAGTATTTGCTGCCATTTTTAACACTGGGAACTACCAAAGCAGTCAAAATGACTGGTTAGCACACTCTTATAACGATCATTAAAGTGTTACAGCAATGCATTTTCTGAGATCTTTTATAATTTTGATTGCAATATGAAAGTGCAGAAATTGGTTGATTTAAAAATTTTTAGTTTTTCAAAAGTTTGTAATGTTTATCGATCTGATAAGAATCGATATATATGTTATCGTCGGTAGTACTAGTGTTAAAAATGAGAAGAATAAGAACGTATTTTGAATTTAAACTGTTTCACTGGTTTATTCGTTTGGCAATAAGAATTCAAAGAACTTTATGTTCAATTCGATTCATCGGGCGTGTAAAATATTGTTTGCACCAATAGGCAATCCATTATCTCTTCTAAATTCAATATTTATGATAGTTTCTAGGAAATTAGAAACTTTCTGGATTAAAATTTTTCTTTGACAGTCGCTACAATTTTCAAGAAAGAGACAAACAAGAATATATTATGTATTGAAACTATTTTACTCGTTTATTGAAATGGAATAGTGCAAAAAATAACAAAGAGACACAAGGTCATTTGTGACATCTTTTGTAGTGGTTTATG